TGGGTCACTACAGTATGCAATGAAAAAATTGCATTAGTCTGTGTTTACATTTAGTGACACAAATAAAAAATTTAAAATAGCAATACACTTGATGAGTTTTTTGTCTCCCTGTCTTACTTGTTGCTATCTTCACTGGTTTTTGTGATGACACTATCTCTGACTTGCATGCAAGAACGAATTGATAGTTCATTGTTAAATGTACCAACTGCAACAAATAAATGAAATATGTACTGAATTTAAATTCTTAACGAATGAAAGTGAAAAATACCTGCATGCTACAGTGCTAACATGGCTGACCTGATTCACAAGAGATTTCCACTTTTGCAGATACAGAGACTTGTTCTCCTTTGCCTAACTCCATTCTAGCATGATATTGATACAAGCAACTCTCAGAAACATTCTGTGCAAGAGAAAGAAAACATGAAACAATACATCCAGCACACTTTACTTTGCAATTAGACACTTTCACATATTTTCCATAGGTAACTCCACAGGATAGGAAGAATGAGAGAGCAAGAGCTAATAACACAAAGTCTTTCATGCTAAAGCTTGCAAAACTCTGTGACAAACTAGGTACAAGCTGCACTCATATTTATACTAATCTGCATGTGTTGCATGCCTGCGTCTTGTTATGCATGAATGATTTCCTAAAAAAAGATCATACCAAATTTTAGTTTTAGTGTGCATGTATCTTAACACTTGCATGTAAACAGCACACACCATCATGTACCTATATAACAGTTTTCAATAAAAACATGAATGCTGTCATACAAAAAAAGTAACTTGATAAACTTGTATTAAAATACCATTAAGGTTTAGTTTCAACAAAACAAATGCAATAGCACAACTTTAATAAACAATTTGGGATGAGATATGTTTTGTAAATTGTCACTTAAAGGCTAAATAAACTTATGGCCGAACTAACATATCAAGCAGGATGAAAATGCTGTCCTACATGCATATAAATGATGTTTTGCTAAAATAGGCATCGTACATCAAGTTGCTAATTTTCATCCGCTATGTACAAGTATAGTAGCATAGCGTTATCCTTTTATATACTTCACCTCACTAAGACTTATAATTTGTACATGTATGTACATGCACTGACACTCCCTCATTATCTTCTTACTATTATTAATAATTAATCTTTTATCAAACTGAAAAGGAGATGATGCTATTTCCCAGGAGAGCTTCATTTTAATGTGAAAAAATAACTTCAAAAAATGTAGTAAAAATGCATGTTAAATTCTTATGGAAAACTCTTTTTCAGCCATTTTTGATGCATGCAGGATCTTTGTGCAGTGATGCATGTGTGCATCATTGCTGGTGATTTACTTGGATATCTTTGTGATTCATTGTTTACAAAAAATGAAAATGCTTATAACTATGCTACACTAATAAAAAGCTTAAACTCAACTACAAAAAAGAGGAGTCTATTAAAAATGATCACATCAGCTTTCAATGATGATTGAAGAATATCATTTTGACCTTATTGTTGAACAGGAACATCGTGAGCATCCAAACTGGCTACCCTTGCAAAGAACATTGAGGGGGTGGTTTCCAGTACAATTACAAGCATAACACAGACCAAACAATTTCTCTCTTCTATTTGCTAGGCTCCAAGTACGTGATAGTTTACGAAATTTTTTCTTTTTTCTTCAAGAAATCTGTATATTTGTGACAAGAATAAATGGAAAAGAGAGAGAAAATAATATTGTCATTACTAGAATATTACTGATAATATAACCTTGCACTTAAGCCATTTACACCGGATTTTCCTAGACTGCTGGTATGCATAAACACTAATATTTCCTCGAGTTGTACCATAAACTTCAAAGCATGCATTAGCATCCTGTGATGATGAGCCACAGAGTGAGGTTGATGCTTCTGGATTTGTGGTATAGGATATGGAGGCTGAGACTACAATACCTAATTTGTGTTTGAACTATTAGAAAAAAAAATGAAATAATAAATATCTCTGACACCCCAGCTTCCTTTTCACTCTTCTCTCATATTTGACTCTCACCAATACTCTAGCAGTAGCCTTTCCTTTAACAGTTAGAGTAGGTCCTGTCTCAAGCTTAGCTGATGCCTTCATATTAACATCATTATCCAAACGTCCAATGAATGCATTGAAATTCATTTGTCCAGATATTTGACCAGTGAGAGTGACCTTCAGAGTACCTACAATAATAAAGAACCTAAGTTTTACTCGGAAAAGAGTAACTGTCTTTTGCCACGAGCGAGTGAACTTGTATGTCCTTGTTGTTGTGCTCATTTTATTTAAGAGTGTGGAACCGACTATCTTAATGTAGCGCTTGTATGTCAAAGTGCTGACAGAGTTTTGGTCTGGGAGTCTCTCACATATGAGAACATCACATCAAGTGCAGTGTAAGTTTTTTTTCAGACCAAAAGATCAAACCTTGCTTGTGCATACAGTTTGATACCAGGAATACCAACACCTCCAAACCCTCCTGCTGCTATGTCAGCATGTAATTTAGAATATTCAATCTCCGTGGCCCACAAATATCCTCTGTGAAGGGGATATTTAGAAATATCTCGACGTCTCCCAGACCTTGACTGTACCAGATTATCTACTCAGAAAATTTAGTTAACTTTCCACATAACCTAAGGCATCATTAATTTGCATAAAATGCTC